ATCAAGATTTTATTTTAGTACTGGGTGAACACATAACGATGACGTACAAGCATCACAGAGAAGAAAGTTAAGGGGGCCACGTTTTCCATGTTTTAACCTACTAACCTCAGATCGTACACTCAGAAAAATTTTAAATTTGAAGGCTTCTTGAGAAGACTTCAATGTAGCTTTATTAGTTGAAACCTTGACTGCGATTACACCAGTGGGCAATATATGGTTGGATAATGTAAAGGACATCCAAGTCATGAAGGTAGTTAGTTTCATTTTTTTTACCATGGTTGGTGTGACTACAAAACGTCTGCAATGCTACCACCTTTTGGAACATCCCACAACTAATTAGGTTAATTGCAAGTTTCTAAATTGCTTGATTGTCAGTTAAACACAGTCTTTAACTGATCTGGGAGTGCAGTTTAACTATTTAAAATTTTAACCTTAGATAAAAGCTGCATCTGCAACAGTAAGTTTATCCAACAATAAGCAATGCTTTAATTTTCTCACCTCTCTCCCTGGAAGCCTGGCGCACAGACACATTTTCCTGTCACATGATGGCAGTTGCCATGAAAACAAGGACTACACGTCAAGAGGCAGGCGTCTCCAAACCTCCCGTTAAGGCAGCGCTCCTGACACCTGGACGAGGACAGAAAAACGAGGACAGAGATTACTAACACACTTACACTGTTGGTGGTACAAACTTCCTATCCTCTATAAGCAGACTGTTTTTGAGCTTAAGTGTAATAAGCAGTGCTAATGTTTTACCACATGGATCATTTTATTAATTTTGCATCTTTAGGCAACTTAATCCATAAGCTTTAACTCTTCCAAGCAACTCTTTGAATACATCATGTTCAAGAGACTGCAGTACAGTTGTAAGCAGTGAATAATTTGGACTTTTTAGCAGATTCATCTCTTTTTGTTAAACTCAAATCATCTCTTGTCTTCTGGGTCTGACTTTCTGATTATGTCTCTAGTCAGCGAAATGCGCTTTGACAGCCAACTCACGGATGTCAGAGCCTCCCACGAACAGCTGTATGCACAAGTACGGAAGTGTTTTCAGTCCCCAGATCACACCACAGGATGACAATGGAGCTTCTGACAAAAATAACTATAATTTGTGACAGACAGACAGTTTTTTCTATTTACTGATTGATTGATTTTTCAGTGATCAGTGTGGTTCAGCATATGAACCACACTGATCACGGGATGCTTCCTAAGACCAGTGAGGTGCAGGCTGCTGATCATTTTTATTCTTTTTTTTTTTAAATAACACAGTGATTAAGTAGCCAGTTATTACATTTAGCATTTCTGTATATTTAGAACCCCAATTCCCAAAAAATTTAGAAGTAAAGATGGACAGAGGTTCAAAAAATTGAGCCATTAACTTGTGGAACAACTTCAGCTTTGACTAATTTTTATCTACAACAGAGAATCTGAAGAAATCTCTGTGTGCAAGGGACACTACCAAAAATCAAAACCCATGATCTTTGAGCCTTCAGACAGCACTGCATTAAAAACAGACATGAGAGATGCTACAAGACCCTTTCACAACATTTTGAGATGTGTTGCTACCATCAAATCAAAAATGTGTAAATATTTTTCTTTAAATTGCATTTTCTATGTTCTACTGTGACTAAAATGCGAGTTTATGAGATTTGCAAATCATTTCATCATTTTACACACGTCCTACTTTTTTGGAAATAAGGTTTTAATTTGAAAGCTACTTCTTTCCTTTTACCTATTAATTGCTTTGATTATGTCAAAGTGTAAAAATGCACCAAAAAAAGGTGAAAAATAATGACTCGTAATGTACTTTGTAAAGCAGTTAGTTGTAAATAGTGTAAATTTTTATTGTTGCTAATGTTTCCCCAAAATATGCGCGCACACCTGGGTCCAGTCCATCCGGGATCACAGCTCTGACACAACCCAGTTTTTGGGTCACATGGTTCATTGTTCCTGCATCGTGGACACCCTTCTTTGCAGCCATCACCATGGAAACCAGATGGACATGGGCGGTCGCATCGCGTACCGTTCCAGCCCGGCTCACAGGCTGCACATGTGCCATCGATCAGAGAGCAAAGCTGGTTGTCTTTACAGTGACCACAACTGAAGACAAGGGATAAAGTTCAGCAGTGAGAACACACACATTCACGTGTATCCACCTTTCTTTCCACACACACACAGTCGTGTTTTTATATCCTTGTGGGGACATCTAATTGATATAATGCTTTCCCTAGCTACTTACCCTAACCATCAAAAATGAATGCCTACCCCTAACCCTGATACTAAATACACATTTTGAGTCTCACAAATGCCTTCAAACTCATGGGGACGGAGATTTTGTCCTCATAGGGGTTGTTGGTCCCCACAAGTATAGCAAGCTTTCAATTTTTGGTCCCCACAAAGATATGTAAACATGATATACACACAAACACACAGAGACACAGGCACACACACATTGAAACCTACCTCCTTTTACAGTCAGTGCCATACTTTCCTGCTTCACAGGGCTGGTTGCAGGAGACGCCCCTGTATCCTGGGTGGCACAGACACGTCCCACTCATTACGTCACAGCTGCTGTGTTTGAGGTCACATTTACAACTCTGGTCACAGCTGGTTCCCCACATGCCAGGCTTGCACTCGCACACACCATTGCGCTGATTACATGGGGACTGGTTACAGTTGCACGGGTTTGTACACCTCATCCCCCAGTGCCCCTTGTGGCACTGACACTTGCCCGTCTGCTGGTCACAGCTGGGGCCTACAGACCCACCGATATCACACTGGCACGGTTTGGCACAGGTTGAACCCGAATAGCTGGTGTCGCAGGTGCAGTTTCCGTGGATGGGGTGGCAGCGCCCGTGCCGGGAACACCTGCAGGTTTGCTTGCATAGTGGGCCCCAGCGGAGTGGGTGGCAGGTGCACTCGCCAGTGGCTGGATGACAGCGCCCGTTAGGATAGCACTTACATATCTGACGGCAGTCTGGACCCCAGAACTCAAGAGGACAGTCTAGAAACAACACACCAGTGAGTACATAGAGAGCTATTACTAGACTAAAATATAGTAATTATCAACACTATAATGTTTTTATATTGTTATTTTTCTTCTTTCTTCTACAATGAATGGACGTTTTAACTCACTCGTTTTGCACTCAGCACCATAGTAGCCAGGTGGGCAGCGACATAATCCAGGATATAAACAGATCTCACCCTTCAAACAGGCCTGCTCACCCTCACATACAGCTGCACACAAACACAAAGAGAAAACAAAGCCAATGTAGAAGTGGTAACAGCATAGGAATAATAATCATCAGAATACTAGAACTTACGTATTGTGCACTCTTTTCCCTCCTGGCGCCATCCAAGGCAACAGAACAGGTTAGAGGGATCCCTAAGAATTACAGACATCATCAAATCAGGTTGATAAATCTGAAACCTTAGTAGATAAAACACTCCAGTGCCTGCATTCAGCCATGTCATCCTAAAGAAGGATGGGCCACACAACCCACAAGCCAACAGTACAATCTCATGGCACTAATATTCATCACAAGAACTCAAAGCCAGACGAAGGCCGCCAAAAACGTTAATTCGGTAACCCGTTGTTGCCACTTAAGACTCAAAAGCCAGTATGTGAAGTGAAGGAAAAGCTGGAGTTTACCTTATATTCTGGCAGACGTTCTTCCCAGCAGGATCCAACGTGTGAGCACAGGCCAGTGAGAAGCAGAGCAGAGCACTGAGAGCTCCGAGGAGAAGCTTCATCTCCAATCTGAAAGCACAACCAGGGACAAATATATTCCCGTCTTTATTTCTGCTCCCAACTTGTCTTTGTCTCAACTCGAAGGGAGCAAAACGAGGGGCAGTACCTATCTCTCAGCCTACCCTCCACCCTTCCCTCCTTCCCTTCCCTCTCTCTTTCTGTCCGGTGAGTCGTCTTGTGGCTCCAGCGTAGCCAGAGAGGTCGAAGCCCCCGGGTTTCCTCTTCCCATTTCCTGGGGAAGTCAGAGCCACTTCCTTCTATTCAGCCAGACACAAGAGCTTTTTAAAGATGGTCGAACACTAACACACAAAACTCGCCGTACACAACGATGGGGCGCGTACGAACAAACACACACACGTACTGATGGTCACCCTTTTCTCAGAATCTATTGCAGTAGGTCTTACAGGAGATGATGAAGGAAGCCTTTGTCTTCCTTATAAGTCGTGAAAGTCGGTGAAAAGATGCCCATGTGATCAATTTGAGATCCAGTGAAAGCTTATTCAGCATTCTTTGTTCCTTTTCTTATGAGGGTAAAAAAAAATGAACCGAGATTGTTTCACTTTTGTAAATATATTCTCTGTTTAATAGATGTTTTTATTGAAATCTCAATGTCACACATTTTCAGTTGTTTTATAATAAAATTCACTCAGATGGCAAATAACACCTTAAATGTGTTTACATCATAAAAACAAACAAAAAAAAATGCTCCATTACAAAGATGCTTACAAAAATAAATTGCCCACAAAGGATGTCAGGAGAAGGTGGTTTTGCTCGATGTTCATTCATTCTCCCTTTACACATGCCACTGGCCTGCCTGAGTAGTTTCTACTACATTTAGAGGGAACAGATGGGTTCATTTAAAGTGGTGGTGCTGAAAGCACACGTTTAGGGCACCACCATCAAATACCCGAATACTGATACATGATTGATTGATTTTTACACTACGAGCACTAAAATAAGGCTCATGGGGTTAAGATGCACTCTCCTAACCTGCACTGCACTCACTGCAACTTTTCTGTTTCCTTGTGCATAGAAGTGCTTCAGATCATTTAACCTCCGAAGACCTGAACTCTTCCACGGCATGCATTTTTAGTTTCTCTTTGATATTTGGACATATTGGGGCCCGATGAATGTAAAAACAAAGAATTACCAGATTTTTTTTTACTTTATTTTTGTTTTTAAGAAAAATAAGAGCCACATATGAGCATATTCATTTAAAATTTTGATAGAACAGTAGCAGTATAATGTCCTCGTGAGTGGATATCAGGCCCTTGTAAAGCAAAATTGAGTATTTTGGTCTAAATAACCCAAAATGTGATGTCCACATATGTGGACGCCAGGTCCTAGGAGGTTAAACATAGAGTAACCACATGGCTTTAAAATTCCCTCACTGAGGTATGAGTTAGATTGTATTTGTTTGTGAAAATATTTGTATGAGTTATAAAATGAGCAGAACTTAATTTACTGCTTTATGTACTATTAAAGTAGATAATTATATCTATATAAAACTCAAACTATGTCTTTGGTTTTTTTTAAATACATATAAACACTGAATCTGATTTTACTGAATTACCAAAAATACATTTTTTTTTCTTAAAATGAAAAAAATCATGATTGTCTTGCTGTACAGAATATCATAGCAGTATTTCTTATATCGTACTGTAGTTACACAATGTTCCTCTTGTTTTCTCCTTCCATGATAAAGGGGAAGGCATCAGACATTAACTAATTATGGTTGAAACTTAATTTCAGGAAATAAGAGGGGATTGTTTAAATGCGCTTCTTTATCTTCCCGTGGTGCTCCGGGTCTGCATTCAAATGTCCTCATAACCTTTGCCCTGAGCAAAAACCGCAGAGAAGTTGTGACTGAGGTGAGGAGAAAGTGTTGTCTGAGTGTCAAACTTAGAGAAATCTCTCAGTTCAATCTCTGTGGTCAGTAACGCGTTCAGGAAGACCTCAGCTGCTCCGCCTCCTCATTGGCCTCGGAGTCTCTGATGATCTCCCAGGAGGAGTTGTTCACGTCGGTGGGACCCGGGCCGCTGCTTGACCTCGTCAGGAAGCCAAAGCTGCAGGCGACAGAGCAGAAGGGACAGGCCTGAGATCAGATCTGCAGTCAGGGATTACTGCTAAATATAGACTGGGATTGACAAAATCTGAGGAGGGTGACATTGTTAACAGAGCGAGGGAGATGGAGTGATGTCTGCAGTGTTTCTGCTTTTATTCTTTCTTTCTGAGTGATTCATTTTCTTATTGCTCTTGCTCTATGTTTATTGACAGGAACAGTGCAAAGCGCTGAAGCTGTTGAAAATTAATTTATGGTTGTTTCATTTTGCCAGCATTCTGTTTCAGTAAATGTGCAACAGATGTGGAAATGAGACGAATGACAGCTTTAATCAGCACTGAGACCTCATGTAGGAACGAAAAGAGCACTAATATAAGCCGAAACATAAATATAAAACACCACCAGGTTCTGCTGCTTTTTACAAACCAGGACTCTGGCTTCCAGTCTGACCAATGCGGAGTGATTGTGCAACATCGTACTCACAAGTTTCGAATACGTGACTCAGCCGGTTTCACTGTTCCATCCACTTCTGTGCCATCCACTTCTGTTTGGCCAAACAGAGAACTCCTGTCTTCCTCATCACTGTCGAGGAAAAAACAGTCACTCAAACCCCTTTCACTTTCTGAACATCTTTTTAAATCCGCGCATTGTTTCCTATTGTTGTTCTAGAAATGATGTCTGTAAGAAATACCTGCTGCTGCATTCGTTGTTAGGAATCCCAAGCATCTTGGCTTTAATGAGCTTTCTTTTTTTCTTGATGGCAGAGCGCACAGCTTCTAAGAGAAAACCTGGACACCTCTCCTCATTCAGTATTTCCCTGCAGACACATACAGTCCTTTCAGCGTGTAGACAACTTCACTGGCACCATGACCATCAACTAAAACTAGAAAACACGCACCCAAACAAGAAAACCCACCTCTGATAGTAGCTGAGCTCCTCCTGCACCAGGAAGAGGTTGGTTTTTAGCTCGTTCCTCTCGAAAAGGATGTCGCGCACCTCCTTCTTGGTGAAGCACGGCTGATCGGGATCCTTCTGATCGGATGTTGGCTTTTTCTTTGGCTCCTGTGCTGTTGGACTTGGTCGGGACTGACGGGACAACAAGCAGTGATCAACAGGTTCATTAAACCACAAAGCTGATTCAGCAAAAAGCAGCAGTTATTTGATCAACAGTGCAAGCTTAAACTCTCTAAACACTCTAGAGTGACGTTGGAGTCTAAAGTTCACAGATTTCCCTTTTAAGGCCTTAAGTAAAATATTAAGGTATCTCTAAGAAGCATCTTATTCATTATGCGGGAAAGTAAGGAAACATATCTGTCGTATCCAGTGTGAAAGGTGTGCATACCGGCGTGTTGCTGTTGGTTCTGTCGAGCTGTGCTTGGAGGTTTTCTATTTCTTTGTTTTTCTCCTTCAGGTCGGCCTCCATGTCGGCCTTCCTCTCCACGGTGCTCTTCAGCTGGGCCTGCAAAACATTCTGCTTGTGTCGCAACTCTGCATTCATTTTCATAAAGCGGTCCAGCTGCTCCTGAAGCTACACACACACACACACACACACACACATAAACATACACATATATATATGATTTACAAATTTGTATCATTAGCAGTACTGCAGACAGTTATAAACACAGCTTATGGCTAAATCAATGAACCAAGGCTGACCCACAAAAATGGAAATTGGAAATGTGGTATATAAGATTACTCTGCCTTAATATAAAGGATTAAAAAATAGGCATTATTTAAAATAAAAATACTCCCTGGTTAACCAAACCAAATCAAAGCCAACTCTTTTACTTCCCCCAGTTGACCATGAAGTGAGTTTTTCTTTCTGTTTAAAAGTCAGCTGATTGGTTGCAAAACGGCAAGCATTAACAAACACACCCAGTTATGGCCGCTATTTAAATCATGTGGTATACATGCCCTTGACACACATACAGCCAAGATGAAAACAGTGCCCTGACTTGTCTAAAGTGCAGCTTAAATCATCAAGCAGTAACTGCGTGGATAATCCCTGCCCTCTTTTCCTGACAGTTAGCACAATTTATGCCTTCCAGTGGCTCCTTTAAAGTGGTTTACATGATGCAAGTTCTCTTGTGTTGCTGTGCGACACATGACTCCACGACTGTGTATGTAAGTATGTACGATATATATAGAAATAACACAACACATAAAACAGGGTTTGAGAATAATGAAAAGAATACTACTGTTTCCATGAGAAAAGCCAGAAAGTCTGTAAGGAAACACAACTTGCAGCCATAAATTTGATTGAGTGTAACCTTGTGATCCACATGGACAAAGAACACTTTTTATTATTTAAGGGCTGCGCTTCATACATGTTTTCATCTTAATTCTCAAGTGATATATATATATTTTAGTGTTTGTTTATTTATACTTCTACTATTTCCTTTTGCCTTTAAAAGAAATGATAAAATGTTTTGATTAAATTAAAGATGTTTTCAGTCGTTATTCTTCAGTGAAGAGTTAACCCGACCCAGCTCCATCTTTAGATTAGTTTCCATTGTCACCATGGGAATCATCTGCCTCAAGGCCTCTGCAGCAGTCAAACTTGTTACTCTAGGTCACTAAAATATTTGTAAGTGGAACATCACAACAGAAATGTCAAAGCTTATAATGTTATCAAAAATAGATAGACACACTAGCCACTTTATAAGGTATACCTTTTCAACTGCTTGTTTAAACAAAGATCTAATCAGCTGATCACATGGCAAAAGCTGAAGTTCAAACTGAGCGTCAGAATGTGAAAGAAAGGTTATTTAAGTGACTTTGAACGGGCATGTTTGTTGGTGCCAGATGGGCTGCTCTGAGTTTCTCGGAAACTGCTGATCCACTGGGATTTTCCCACACAACCATCTCTATAGAGTTTACACGGAGTGGTCCGAAAACGAGAAAATATCTAAGAAAGTTAATCTATCATCCTCCTAAAAAGAAAGAAAGAAAGAAAAAAGGTTAAGAGTGAATTATATCGTATGTCTCCTTACCGCCTCCACCTCTTTGGTGATGGTAGTTATCTCCTGGCTTTTGGCCCTCAGGTCATCTCTTTGTTTATCCACCACCTCCTTCAGCTTTAGCATCACCTCACGCTCCTGCCGCTGAACACGGTCTAACACACACACACAAATTCACAAAGTGTATCAACTTTGTGTAGCTACTTTTTTAACTATTTTGTCCCTCTTTGTTTTCATAATTTCATAGCTTACGCTCATTCAAATTGGATTTAACATTTAACAATCTGTGTTTTATTGTTGCTAATGCTCATAATAGCTTACTCGTGTCATCCCAAACTCTTTCTAAGAAAATCTGCACTAAATAATATCGAAAGACAAAAGTCAGCATGAGAAGTAATTACCACAAGACCTCAACATTACACGAGCTTAATACCTTAATCCCATTTGTGTCGATGTGCACGAGGACAACACGCTGCACGTAATCTTGATTCATTCTACAGAGACTTAAGATTTCAGAGCACAGACAGTATCTCTTGCTTGCATCTACTGTTATCTTGCTTTGCAAATAGTTTCGCTTTTACATTAACAGATTCTTACACTCTGGGACCTTTCATCAAAACTGAAATAACTGAAAGCATATTTGCGGTGAACCTCAGTGGCCAAACAGCCATTTCACTTTTACTACATGAAATGAATAGTCACGTTCACCTGCCTCAGGGCGTCCTGTCAAATGAATCACAAAGTTAAGACGGCATGAGTTTATCTGCCAGTACGCAAAAACTGGAGTCAGCAAGGCGACTCCAGCCTCTGGCTCACAGCTCTGCGGTAGGGCTTCTACACGCTGGGATAGAGATGATATATTCTCTCTTTCACTTCGCTCAGCCACTTTAAATTATACAGAAACTAAGCATCAAATGGAAATCATGCCGACTGTTTTTCAGTCAGTGAGTCTTACTGTATATTAAATTTAAAAGACTATTGATCGTATCTATCTGTTGTTTAATTTTTATAGTGTACAGAGTAATTGTTCAGGTTGTTATCAGGGTTTAATTTTAATGTTTGCTTTTTCTGAACACTTTCAGCCAGCAAAAATAACTGCACTATACACACAGCGATGGCCAGTTGGACTGGTTTCAGCCTCAGAGCGTATGATGGTTAACCCACTGCTTTGAATATTTACTGGAACTGGTTGATGTCACGTTTACAGACTAGAATGAAGTAAAAAAAAAAAAACATAACCACAAGACCTCGAGGTTGATTTACCTGTTTGAAGAGCATGCACTTACTGCACTTCTATAGCATGTTGAATTTTGTTTTGTTTTGTTTTTTTAAGGGGGGGGGAGGGGGGGGGGACTGATTTCCACATAGTTCCGATTTTAAAAGCCTATAAGATACCTAACGTTACAGTTCACTTCAACAAAAATAATTCCTCATACATACCTTCCTGTGCATGGCTACCTCTCAGCCTGCTCTCCAGCACCTCCCTGTCTTCCTGGAGCTGCTGTATCTGGACCTGCAGCTCTTCGCACCTCCTCTTCCACTGCTGCTCCTTCTGCTGAAGTTCCTGGATGAGATGACAGGAGTCAGACTGTGAAACTAAAACCTCAAAAGCAGGTTCTATTGCATTTTTAGAAGGGGGGAAAAAGATCTGATGTAAGCTGTAGAAAATCTCTAGAGCATTCAGAATCTGGATTCAACTTGACCAGTTGTGTCCAAGCGGGTGTGGCAATTTAGTGTTAAGTCATTGCAGATGTTTTTCTTTTCCAACTTTGTTTTATTGATTTCAACCATGACATACATGACAACAGCAAAGTCTATCTTGATTTCAGAACAATTGTATGTCCATTATACCCTCCAACCTCCCACCCCGAATTCTCCCCCTTCAAGGTCCACACTAGACAAGACACCGCACAGATCCAGTCTCTGCACATAAAAAATGTCTCAAGACCCATACACATAACAAGCATAAATTGCAGATGTTTTTCTAATGGCTGTGAGACATCTAAACAGCAAAGTCTGACTTCCCAGGACAGCAGAGCTTTTCCATATAATGACAGCATAAACACTAAATAAAGAGAGAAATAGTCTGACAAAAGACAGTTCATACAGAATAAATGTTGTAGCTCTGAGAAATCCCCAGGAGGCTGGTTATTTTTGTAGGAGCTGTTTGACAGCCAGGTCTATCTGTGTGAGGCCCACCTCACACAGCAAGCAAAGGTCTCCAGACTTTCTGAAGGTCTTACAAAGATTTTCTTTGCACATTGGCTGCTTTTTTAATCATTTCCAATTCAGTCCATGAAATGTGTTACTAGCAGCCAATTACAAAAATTCCCATTTCTTTTGTTGAATCTATGACAAATACCAACGATAACACACTTTGTCAGGCAAAAATATTACTTTTGTAACATTTGTAACATGAGCTATTAGCTGAAACTCCTTGAGGCAACTGATGCTGTGATTTGGCGATATAAGTAAAATTGACTTGAACTGAAGACTTGGCCTCAGCATGTTGTGCATTGTTTCCTTAAAAGATCTGAGGAAACTGGACAAGTGGAAGACAAAAGAAGAAGTAGTAGGCCTAAAACAGATGAACACTATCTTAAAGTCATGTCCTTAAGAAACAGGAACAAAATCCAGCAAAGACATGACACAGAACCTGAGAGATGCATCTAAACCTTCGTTTGATCTACTATCTGCTGCTTCATCAGATATGCTCTCAGTGGAAGGGTGGCTGCCAAGAGGCCATTCTTAAAGAAGGAAAACTGGGAGAAAAGACTGAGAAAGAAGAGCTGGGCTGAAAATCAGTGGCAACAGGCGCTATAGAGTGTTGAATCTGAATTTGATCCATCATGCAATACCAGCATAGCTTCACTCTTCAGCATGATGACAATGATCAGAAACACAGGACCTCAACATCCATGAAGCAGTGTGACATCCAAAGCAGAGCTTTGGATGTTGGCTAAATTAGGTGGCCAATCCAAATATTGACTTTGGAGCTCCTTAGAATTTGACATGTTCTGTTTTTACCTTATAAACTGTATTTCCTTGTATGTATGCACATGTTTCAATAAATCGTTGCATTTTCCTAGCAAAATATAAATAAATGAGAGGTGGCACAAAACTAGTGTACAGTACTGCAGAAGCTCCTAAATTACGCTATGACTTCAAGAAAGTATTAACATGGTTCTTCAACATTTATAACTCTATAGCTACAGTTATAATTAATGAAAAGTCCCTTTTTAAATGTGGTACTTTACACCAAGTGATTGGTGAGATGCTACTTAAGTGGCTGACTGCTAGCTAGCTTCTTTTTCTAGTGTGGGTGGTAACACTCCCAGTGCTAATGCTAAAATCACTGCTGTGTGATCACTTCATGTGATTTATAAAATACATTTTACAATATATAACAGAGGACATAACAATTAAAGTTATACCATGCCAATGTTAAATATTCTCATTGAAAACTGTTAAATTACAGAGTCTAAGAATAACTGTCGGTCTACGTGGTTGCCTTGACGACACGGGGCGGCACTTCAGGTATTTATAAGTGCCGGTGGATTGATATCAAACAGGCAGTTATAAGGTTTATATCACGCGAGGTCATGCAAATATATATGCAAGAGTAATTTTAGTTTCACAGTGACATAGTATCACAGTAAAAAAAAAAAAAAAAAGAGTAATGGAGCTACGTTTTCAATACAGTTGGGAGCAGTAGCATGTAGGTTACCCAAACGGCGCAAAAATCACCTCGAAATACATCAGATTCGTTGACAAACAGCTCTATTAACCTGCTGTTATAACACAGAGACGCACACTCGGTGAATAACACGCACAGGCGCCGTTGTATTATTTACAAAATGGTGGTGTGACTGAAAATCCCCCGCGTCTCTCACCCGTATCTCGTTTTTATCGTTGGCATCGTCGTTTTCCTTCCCCCCGCGTTTCTTCTGCTGTTGCAGCTGTATGGTCTCGAAGGTCTTCAGAAGCTCCTCTTCCCTCAGTTTGTGAGCGTGGTTCCTCGACGCGAAGCTCTCCAGCAGCTCCAGCACTTTCACTATCTTCGGCACCAGACCCTCAGCGCTCTCTTTGCCGTAACCGTCGATGAGTTTCTCCACATCGGTGCCGATCACTTTGGCTATCTTGTACACATCGTCGACGGTGAGAGCGGAAAACGTCCTGCCGAAGCAGTCCTCAGAGTTTTTGATCTCTGAGAGCGTCTCCATGTCCGAGCCCGAGCAGCTCGCTTCACATGCTCTTAATTCGGCTATCGAAACCGACAGGAGAGACGTGACGGCAAACCGTCAACCAAATCAGCGTGCAAATTTTAAACCTCACCCTCTGCTGACACGTCTGAACTTGACCTGCTCCGCTTACGACGATGCCACTTCATTTACTTAATGTGTGGTCACATTACATCAGCCTACCCAAAAAAATAGACACCGAGCACAACAGTGGACAGTAGGCTGCTGTGTACTCACTGCTGGGTCCTCCTACTTTTCTGTCCAATGTAGTGCGAGTACAGAGAAACATGCACAAGTATGCCTGCTAGGTCGAGCTTACTGATGCATGCAGCAAAGCGTAAACTTAATTTTCTTTGCAGATCTGCAGTCAGAAATGCTGACCTAGAACTGTCTAGGGAAATAAAATAACGGCAGAACTGCACATAAACCTGGAAATATAGCTTCATTAACCAAGACTAAAACAAAGTAAAGTCCTGGCTTATTATGGGGATACCAATGTGCTTAAGCAAGCAAGTGAAACCAACGTGAGTGGTTCAAGGGAAAGCAATTTGACCTCTCAAAACAGGGGAAGTGAGCCAGAAAGTCCCTGTCCAGCCTTACTTCCCCTCTGGGGGCCAAAAAACACCCAAACCTGACATTACCACCACACTGTTCATAAAAATTGAGATCTTTATTTAAACTCAAGCTATGGTGTGACAGGATGTACAGTACGACATACAACACAGTAATAATGGGGCGTTACTGGCATGAAAGAACAACTTTCAGTTTCATTTCTCAAAAGAGTGAACAGTAAGCATATCATTTCCCCTTCCTAAACAGAGGTCTGATCAAATATTATACCAAATTATTGTGTACTGAAAACTACACAAATGCACATGTGAGATGCCACAAAGACTGAAGTAGCCTTACTGTAATAGAGGGCAGGGTAGAGTAATATCAAAAAGGATCCTAAAGCCTTTACATTAAAAAACAAAACAAGAATTCCATCATCACAGTTACATCTTTTTCAATAGCAATATTACAGGTTCTGAAATCTGAGCGCCACATAATTCTGGCAGAGCTTTCAACGAAACAGGTCAAGTGCAGCGCGTCTGCCCTCAGGCGTACATGTCCTCGCGGTCGGCATTGTAGATCTCGCCCTCCTGCAGAGAGGCAAAGTTTAAGAAGTGCGAGGGCCGGTGGACTTCGTGGTAGAACTCCTTCGGGTTGGCCAGCTGGAGGTCGTACTTCATGTTTGGATCGTGGCGCACGCCTGTGGCAAAGAGAATTGACAGGTTTATTATTAGCATATATAAATAACTAGAGCGGGGGCAGGGGTGTCATAAGGCGAGCGACCAGAACTAATTTTGTTATTTTACACATTTATCATGCAGAAAGGGAAGGTGTATTGTTGTATATCTTACATTAGGATATGTCAGGGATTAAATGTTTAGCTAAATGTCTTCACATTTTGCCTAAATGTCTGGCCAATTTAAGGTTAAAGTGCAAAATGAGTTTCACATCCCTGGATCTAAATAATTGTGAAGCAAATCTGCACACTAAAATCAATGAAACAGACACTGGGGCAGTGGAAACATCAATGTATCCTACTGATCATTCAAAAAACAAGAAAACAAAACGTTGCACTCAGGGCAGATTTGGCAACAGATATATAGCAAGCAATACTAATATAAATACAAGAGCTTTGAATACTGACCCATGAAGTTGTAGTTCCAGGAGCACTGGCCAGGTACCATGAAGAAGCCCAGGAAACGATCAGACAGCAGCATCTGCACTCTTTCATAGTGAGACGGCAGGTAACCTTTGGGGTTGTTGCCCTTGTCCGTGTTCTGGCGACCCCATTCGTACCCGCTGGGTGTCAACTTGTAGGCTGTGAGCGTGCACGAACCTGGGGTGAAGCTGAAAAGCACAGACAAGACACTCTTAAGTACGAGTCAACTATGTCTGAAAATACAGTTATAACTACAATTTCTTTTAAAGAGTCTGGTGCATTTTTTAAATTTATTTTAGTAATTAAAGAGTTTTTAAATAAAATTATAATATAAATAAATGGATTTCCAATAGAATCACTATACTGCGTATTGAACTTTCAATACTTTAAACTCCATTCACTGCTACAGATTTTACCTTCCTACATTCTTTTCATACCAAAGTAATAAAGCCTACCTGCAAGTAATGATGATGGTCTTTTCTCCATCCCATGAAGGGTTATCAGCCATGATCTTGGCGTGGGTAGTGACATCCTGTGGGGACAGCTGCGGCGATTCATTGGGCTGCGTGTGAATCCAGCCAAGGGGTTCCATTTCCTGTTTAGGGAAAATAAAAATAAAGCTTTAAAGCTGGAACAAAGCAGCCAGCAACGCTATCATGTATCAATTGCTAAGAATAAACCGGAACTTACTTTCAGGTATTCATGACCAGGCAGCTGGTTGGGCAGGTGGACAGTCTGGTGAGTCCCCCACTGGGGCACCATGACAATACAACGGATCTCCTTCACCTGGGGGTTGTCAGGTGGGCTGGTGCCATACAGGTAGCCTGCAATCTGGAACAAAATAGTATGGTCAGCATATATACCTAAGCATGTTGTTACAATGGGCTCAGTTGATGAAGTGATGTATAATATGATGAATACATACCTGTGCTCGCAGATCTGAGATGCAGATAAATTTTTTGAGGACATTTTTGGGCAGGATGTAGGTGTAACCCGTCTCCTTGATGTCATCAGATGAGACGTAGATGTGGTTGGTTCGGAGATGGAGGTTCGCAGCAGATATGGCCCTGACATGGGGAGAAAAAAAACAACAACAAACAAACAAACATGATTTATGTCTTCATATTTTACCCAATCACGAGTGAACTCTTAAAACAAAGTCTGAACCCCACAGAAGCTGCGTTCATACCTGACTCTCCATTCGGTCTTGGATGAGAATGTCTGGGTCTCGTAGTTGGAGGTGGTGGAGGTGATGATCTCGTCTCCATGCTTGTTGACCGTGCGGGTCTGTGTGGCGGTGAGCTGCGACTGTTCTTTGGTCTGCTTCTCGATCTCAGCAATTTGCTGGCGCTGTTGAGACGGAGCTGAGATCTCCATTCCCAGGATGATGTCACGGATCTCAGACTGGGTCAGCGAAGCTACGTTCACACTGAAAGGAGACACAGGAAGTATTGACCACAAAACTGGTTATATTTAGCTCCAAGTGACACAAAACAAGCAGCTATTTGAGGTACTTACAGCAATTAGCTTGTGCAAAACTTGGGAACTCAAACTGAAGACTTACTTGTTCTTTTTGCCATAATCAGCCAAAATTAGATCTTTGAGTTGCACTTCCACCTTGATCCACTCCTCATCAGTGAGCGTGGGCCAAATGTGATGGGGCTCGGTGATAGTTGTTTTGTCAGGTTTAAGGATCACCTTGGCACGGTCATTGTTGACATGGAGCGCTCTGAGGATCAGGATAAGTCGAGAGAAGGCCTACGGAGCAGACAACCAAACACAAACTACTTACACAGGGAAGGGAGTAAGGGGGCTTTAACAAAACTTTAACAAAAAACCACCACCATTGTAAAACAATTACATACAATTTTAACCCTGGTGTGAAACTCACTGTGTAGGACGAGATGGTCTTCAGCCAGTCATCATAAAGGTTGAACAGCACCATCTGTGGTTCTGTAGCCTTCAGGATCAGGTCTCCAAACTTCTCCACCTTCAGACAGGCCTGGAAGGGCAGCTGCAACTCCGAGCCTTTGATGACAATGTTGGGGAAGTCGAGCAAGTGGACCTGCACAGGGAGAACAATGCATCACAAACTGGAAAAGTGCTGCAGTGTGGTTTCACCTTTGAGGATATTAAAAAATAAATAAATTAATTAATAAATTAATAAATTAAAAAAAAAAAAAAAAAAAAAAATCACACAGAGCTAATCTTCTAAAGTTTTATTAGCATAAAGAGTCTCACCTCCAGAGGGTCGAGCATGCCCTTCCTGGTCACAATGATCTGTTTTGGCTGCTCCTCCACTGGGAGGGAACGAATCAGAGCAGCCACTTCCTCAGCTGTTTTCCACTTGGCCAGCTACAGAGATAGAAAAAAAAAAAAA